AAACACAGAAAGTTTTGTGATGTGATGCACTGAAACAAAAACAAAAAAAGATGAAACTCATTAAGACATGACAGTGGAGAGGAGTGTCATGGAATGAAATGAATGAGCGAATAACTGTATAGACTCTTGTGCTGTTACTCCATAGTTTAACTTGTTAATTTATATTTTTATCTAACCAAACTATCAAAAAAAATTTGTAAAAAATAAATAAATAATGTAAAAAAGAGAAATCTGCATTAAGACATTTGATTGTTGGTACACTTCCAAAAAAAAAAAAAAAAAAAAAAAAGGATTGTGGAATTTTTGACAAGGGAAATAAAAGAAAAAAAATATGTGTATTATTAAAAAAGCAAATTCCGGAGAGAAAATATTCAAAAACAGGGAGATATTACTGTATATTTGCTGAGCATGAAAACAATAACTATCCTTTTCTCTGCAAGTTCCAGAGAAGCAAAATTAAAAGATTATATTGTTTACATGTTGAATATACTCTCAAACTTCCTTGCATTAAAATACAAACTATTTAACAAATCTTGCCATCTGAAACAAAACAATGTAACAAAATGGTATAACATTTTCATAGAGAAAAAAAATCCAATCGCTCTGTGCGAACGGGCAAAAAAAAAAAAAAAAGTTGTTCTTCGACATATATAAAAATTACTATACAAATAAAATTCCAAAATCACATTTATGGACACAACTTGGCAGATGACAAAATAAAAACAGATCATCGCCAAATGATGAGCGAAAACATGAAGAGTTTGAAGCATGTACAATTTCAAGCGATGCATACATACAATATTCATATGGATATCCTACATATATCCCTTCGTGATCATCAAAACCTCAGAGCTAAAGTCAATGAGATCTGCTAAGCATGTCGTAAACATTATATCAGTGACACTAGGTTGTATAAAGCTGCCTTATGACTCCATTCTGATGTATAAATATATTTCAAACAATGACTATTTGAGAATTATGAAATCAAACATATTTATCAGTCTGTACAAAGCATTCACGCTAGAATCCAATGTAATGGCTTCATCTGAATCTCGGATCATTCGTGAGATTTCACAGTGCTGACTATGCCGTAACATCCAAACCCTTCATCTCCTGAACATACACTCAGACTGATCTACATCGGTAGTTCTCAACTGGTCTCATCTGATAGGGTCACGGACAGTTGGGGGAAAAAACAATGGTAAATCAAAATAATCAAATGCTATGAATCATATAATGTGCATAGTGATTTGAATGCATTGCAGTGTTGATTTGAAAAACATTTTCATTACTTTTGCATGATAAACTCAGGGATGTGTCGGGCAAACTCAAAGGTAAAACCAGTTGAGAACCACTGAACTACAAGAAAAGCAGAACATTAAATACTTCATCAGCTTCCTCCTCAACCTTTCAGTCGGTTCAGTCTGAACATTATCTACTGGAGGAAGTCCATTGCAAACTAAAGTATAAAAAAACACAAACAAATTAAAAGGAAAAAGGACATTAAAATGGCATAAAACACTAATAATTTGCGTTTTTGTTTTTGACACTGCAAATCCTCCATAGAGAGTAGTTATAAAAAGAAGGCAGCAATCGCTTTTTGGGCTTTTTGACGGCCTTGTCTCTATATAAAATGAGTGCTTGTCTTTGACTCTTTTGTGTTATTACGGGTAAGTGTTTGGTCTATACATTTTGGCATTACATAATGATAAAACTGGGTAGAGATGAGCATGAAATGTCAAATATTGCCTTCAAGTCATGTCGGATTTACCAACGCAATATCTTAATCTCCAGTGAGAAACTTTAGTTGCTTTTCTTTAAAGGGTTAGTTCACCCAAAAATGAAAAATAGGCTGCGTTTTACTCACCCTAGGTGTATCCTAGGTGTATATGACTTTCTTCTTTCAGACGAATCCAGTCGGAGTTATATTAAAAATGGTCTTTGATCTTTCAAGCTCTATCGTTGCACTCAGCGGGTATTGCATTGCTTCTCTCCAAAATATGTGAAATAAAAAGCACCTTTCCATAAAAAAAAGTGTCTCACACGGCTCCGGGGGGTGAATAATTTTCATTTTTGGGTGAACTAACCCTTTAAGTCTTTATGAGTTAGTGCTGTGCCAATTCAAATCATTGTGGGAACAAACTGATCTAAATAACTTTGAAAATTGACTGTTAATATGCAGTTTTTGTGCTGTGGATCAAGAATAGCTATAAAGCTAAACCAAAAACACTACTTTTATGTGACAAAACTATCAATCTTTGAAGGAATAGCTCTAAAAAATACATAAAGCATCCGGTACACTTCTTTACATGCATCCTTTGCATTTAAAGTGATAGTTCATTCAAAAATGAAAATTCGGTCATCATTTATTCACCCTCAAGTTGTTCCAAACATGTATGAATTTTATTCTTCTGTTGAACACAAAAGATATTTTAAAGAATGTGGGTAACCAAACAGGTTTGGAACAACTTGAGAGTGAGTAAATGATGACAGAATTTTCATTTTTGAGAAAACTATCCCTTTAATTTTGTTGCAGTGGTGCTAAAAAGCTTAACATTAAGTTTAAAAAGAGAGAAATATGAAATTGCCAAACATGCCTATTTTTCCCAACCAAATGTTTTTCGAATCAAAACTTCCCAGAAGGACTTGAAGGCAGCATAATATCAACAAATGGAATATGAATGTGAAAATCAAGACTCAAGAAATGAGCTCTGAATTGGATTTTAACCATGGTAAAAAAAAGGCATAAATTAATTTTTCACAGCCGCAGTTTTAATATGAGTTTACATTGCTGGCATTTTGTAGACTGATTGACTTCAGTTCTTCAAATTCAAATGCATTTTCACAAATTCAGTGGGACATTACTGCGCATAAATCACCTGCAATCTTTCATCTAAAATCGTAAATAGAAACCACTGCAATATTGTGTCAGGTATCATTTCATAAAAGGCTGGTACACACAGAAACACACAAATATGATGGCAAATCAATAACTACGTTTTTAAAATAAATAGACCTCTCATGTTATAGTGTAGACGGGGCGGCTGAGCATCATTTGTGCTGTCGCCCCTTATCTTAAAAAGTGTCTAGAAGGTGAGTACAAATTTCAACATCAAAACAGGGAGGTACAACAGTTCAGTTCGATATTTTTCTCGAATCGTTCTTCCTCTATATCTTTTTGTTTCAAAGCAGATTGTGTTTAAAAAGGGCCTGAGTTTGTAGTTTTTCATCCTTCAGAACAGGACCAGGAGGTCAAGTCCAGCGCCGGAGTATTCTGCACACGCTCAGTGAGACCAGTGGCATGAAAGAGTATGTTTCATCTTTCCGTCTGCACACACACACACACACACACACACCCACGCACCCTACATTGGAGGAACAATCATTCCAGGGATAACTGTGAAGAGAGAAAGACACAAGAATGTTAGTTTACTTTACTCCATTAAACATGCCATTTTTCATTGAAACAGACCTGGCTGCACATAAAAATTAAGTGTGAGAGAATGAAACTTTGAGTTGTACAGCAAAGCAAGCACCAGCTACGAGATTGGACACCGTTTCATATTTTTCGCAGTTCTTTAAACTCAGAAATCAGTTTCCACATCTGCGTTACAAACTGTGGCTTCTTCAGATGAGGGATAAATCCTAATCTCTTTCGGCGTCAATGCAAAATTGGCAAAAATGAGACACTTGAAGCGCTTGATTAAATATCGAATTGTTTGCAAACCATTTCTGGGCTTGTAAGGTCATGGTTGCCCTGGTGTACACCACTATAAATGATGAATTCAAGGAAATCTGAGACAGTCTATCACATAATTCATGCCAGAGACTTCACTCTCTTTAGTTAAGCCAACATGAACTTTTTCTTTATGCACGAGGAAAATGCTTAGCACTGCAGATCTGACTCAACATGAGTTTAGCAACTGCTGACAAGCAAGAAAAGAAGAGAGGTGAACTGTTTTGGATACTCTAGGAACCGCTGGAGGTGAAACACAACCTTGAAAGCATGCAAACACACACTCACACATAAAACTGACACACTGGAACATAATTTTCAATGTCGCATGTTTTGCAGGTATATAGCATGATGTACTGAAACAGAAAAATGGTGTGTGATATTTGGGAAACATGGGAGATTTAAAGGTGAAGTGGGTAATTTTCAATGGAATTGCAAGAGAATTACTGTTTTCGAACAGGTTTCTCAAACATGCCTCTTGTCTGTCACTTCCAACTCGCATCACTGAATTTCTTAGAGCTGGGATTGTAAGTATTTTAACATCATTAACACCATAAAAAAGAAGCATACTTGTTATGCTAGAGCACTGTTATTTGTTGGTATATGGATGATCAGATATAGAAACAGTGGGATGGATGTGGGAGGAGTAACGGATGAGTAACATACTTCAGGAGAAGGCCAGGCCCTGGAGCGCGCTGGCTGTGGAGTACTTGTTAGAGTCGACAAAAGACTGATCTGAGGGCAGTGGAGAGAAGAAGAAGAAGGGAAAGGGAAAGAAGAGAGAGAGCGATGTTAATATCAGAACGAATGATGGGTGAGTATATGGTCAAAAGGAAGATTAGATATTCATGCCACTAGTTTACTATGTCACAGATCCTCACTGGACTTTAGTGGTGTCACATATATTGCCATTCAGATGTTTGGGATCAGTAAGATTTTTTTTTATTATTATTATTATTATTCAGCAAGGATGCATTAAATTGAATAAAAGTGACATTAAAGACGTTTATGCTGTTAACCCCCCAAAAAAAAAAAAGCTGTTCTTTTGAACTTTCTATTCATCAAAAAACTCCGTAAATATTAAGCAGAACAACCGTTTGCAACTGATAATATTAAGAAATGTTTCTTGAGCAACAAATACAATGATTTCTGAAGGATCATGTGACACTGAAGACTGAAGTAATGATGCTGAAAATTCAGATTCGCCATCACAGAGATAAATAAAAATTGAAAACATCTTCAAATATAAAAGAGTTATTTTAAATTGTAATAATATTTCACAATTTTACTGTATTTTTATCAAATAAATGCATGAGCGAGTTTTGGTGAGCATTAGAGACTAAAAAAAAAACATTAAGATATCATACCAATCCCAAATGTTTGAATGGTTAAAAAATAAATAAATACAAAAATCTCAGTATTCTACTTCAGTATCACCGAAACATCATTACTGTCATATTTCCCTAGTGAAGAATAAATATACTAAAATGCATTTGAAATGCATTTATTTCATGCTAAGTATACTACAAATACATTTACTTATTTATGAACTTAATAAAAATACCCTGCAATTGTGCTTAAAATGGATCAACTCATTTTGTACTTAATGCACTTTAATTGTGTGGAAGTTGTGCTGAAGTCCAACTAAAGATATGCTGAAGTATATTTGATTGTGCTAAAGTGGAACTATTGCAAGTATACTTCAGGTACACTTTAAATATCTTGTTTTTAAAGACCAATATTATTCAAAGATCATACAATCCTCATCAATAGTGACATTAAAACACATTTTAGACTTAATATTAAAAAATTTACATTAAATTAAATTTTTTTTTTAAAAGAAAAAAAAACTACAAGGTGCCAATTTGAGTTGAAACAAATTGGTGGTCATAAATTATTATTTAAATAAATGAAGAAAAAAAAAGTCGACCCTCTGGAAGTAATTCGCACACTTTTATACAGTGTTGTCAGTGGACATCTATTTTATTGCTGCAGTATTTTCAGTTTTTAAAGTTTGATGATGTCATTACTGTCATAAAAATCCCACCCCAGCAGAATCTGAGTGTGAAGGACTTGTGCGTTACCTTGGAGACCGTTCCCATTGGTGCTAGTGCATGTAGGTGGAGGTGAGGACTGGGGCCGAACGACAGGAGCGAACGCGCTCTTCTGTTTCACAGCTGAAACCATGTTTGCCGGAGAGAAGGAGAAGATTCCAGAAGAGCTGCTGCAGTTTGAGGGCAGGTTGGTGGAGGAGACCATGGTGGGGCTGGAGGGGACGACTGCAGGAATGCAGAGAAACACATTTTGGATTCAGCAAAAAGACAAGCAAGGAAGAGATAAATTAGGAAATAAAAAGTCTTGTGGGGCGGAAATGATTAGTTGCAATTAATCTCAATCCCAGAAGAATAAATTTGAGTAAAAAAGTAATATATTTAAAATACATTTATTTCATACTAAGTATAGTTCAAATCTATTAACATATTTACTGACATATCACTCGAGACCTATTGGATTAAACATTATAATTCAACTTTATTTGGAGTACTACTTGTGCACAATGCACATTTCTTAATATTAAGCCTAAAATGTGTTTAAATGACACTATTGATGAGGATTGTTTGATTTTTGAATAATATCGGTCTTTAAAAGCAAGATATTTAAAGTGTACCTGAAGTATACTTGCAATAGTTCCACTTTAGCACAATCAATATACTTCAGTATATCTTTAGTTGGACTTCAGCACTACTTCCGCACAATTAAAGTGCATTAAGAACAAAACTAGTTGTTCCAATTTAGCAGACTTTAAGCAAAGACTACCCAAGAATACCCAAGACGTGTCACTCGTATAGTTTTGAATGGGGAAAAATGCAACACTCAGTATGGCCGCTCTATCGAACGAAGCCCCGCCTTCTGAGCAAAAGAGCCAATCGCTAATTAGTAAAGCCAGTGCGTCACTGCAGCTGCTGTTAGAAGTCTCGGTTACTATCCACATTTTTTCTTCAACGCGGAAGTAAGCCTATGGGTGAGACTTCCGGTTCATTAGCCGCTATAGGTAAATAACGAAGAGAATAACAACGTGCAGTAAACGGTAAAAAACTTTTTTTAACGCTATTTGAGCAAAATAAACACCATTTATGATACGTGTTTCAGAAAGGCGGGGCATAGAGGAGAAACAGTAATGTACAGTATGTGGAAAATAATGTGTTTTTTGAACCTTAAACTGCATAAACACATTTCATTACACCAAATATATAAAATAATGTTCTTTTTAGCAACATCATATGACCCCTTTAAGTATACAAACTTAGTATACCAAAATTACAAATGCAGGGCATTTTTATTAAGTACATAAATATGCAATGTATTTGTTGTATACCCAGCATGAAATAAACATATTTCAAACATATTTCAAATATATTTTAGTATATTTATTTTTCACTAGGGTGTTTATTTCTTAAACACAAATTTTGATGCTAAAAATTTTACCGATTAAAATACAGGCGACAACTAAGTAAGCCATTTGTAGGCTGATGTCTTGTGACATGCTCAACATTTTGCCATGTTTGAAACTCAACTGTATTGGTTTTAATTTTTAATAAGGATTTAAAAATTGAAGTTGTCAGATTAGTTCAGCTGAAACCTTATAACAAATGCAGAATCCATTCATCAAGTCTTAACTAATCAATTAATGAAAACTGGAAGCTTAACAGGGGTCTCTGCGATTGATTGGAAGTGTCTGATGGAGTCAGTGAGCCTTTTATAATACTTGTTAACATTGCTGGATGTTAGCAGTGAAATTGAAGTGTTGCCCCTTCAATTACTTTATTGATTTAATTAACAGTGTTTAATACACAGGCCAAAATGGAATTTAAATTTGATAGAGGCAATAAAACCCTGTTTTTGTAAAGAAGACCAGAGTCATCAGAGGATAGAGTGGGCAGGGTTGCATTGCCAAATTCCTGATTGCTTTCTTTTCCTTTGCACGGGATGTTTGTGTCAAAGTTTCGTGTGCTGCTCGTCTCGCCTTTTTTAAGATTTAATGTCAGATTGGCCGTCAACCCCCCGAACACACACCCTCACTGCTCAAGTCATAAATAAGCAAACAAACACATCACTCTTGGAATATTCCAAATTCTTTTGTCTCTGGCTCACTTTCACATGTCTGGTTAATTGGAAAGAGCAAGCAATTAAGTATCAGCTCAATAAATAACAGCTGGAGTGAGGTGGCACTGTCAGGCGAACAGAAGAGAGAGAGAGTGAGGAGAGAACTTTTAAAGAGCTGTTGAATATAGACTGCAGAGCATTGTGGGAATTCTCAGTTGGGAATTCTATCAGACCTAAAGGCCCATACTGTCAGACTTCCTGCAATGATTGTGCATCAAAGACAGAAGTTTGTTTGGAAACAAGGGCTTGTTGGAGCATGTGAATTAAACACTTCAACTGTCAAATTTCACCAATAGTTCCAAAATACTGTATTTTAAATGCCCTTTGAATGGATTTTATCGCTCATTTACACTTGCATGTATTTAAACATTGCACACGAAAGCATGTCACAGTAGGTCTGACGTCTTGACATCACATTTAGTCACATGTCTTCAAGTGAAAGTCAGATTTAAAAGCTACAGCAGAGGGAAGATTTTATTCAAGTTAAAAATGTCAATCTGTTCCTGACATAAAGCAATCATATGGCTTCAGATAACATGGAAATATAATACATGGGCCATGCAGACTACACACACACACACAAAAAAAATGATTTCTAGTAATTGCTAGCCAATTTTACTAATAATTACAAAGAAATGGCAGGTGCCACATTAAATTAAATGTGACATTTTGAAGTGGAAAGATTTATAACTTCGAAATGTTCAAATTTAAAAAAAAAAAAAAATTTTGTGTGTGCTTTTAAAAAAATTATAAATAAATGTTTTGTTTTTTTAATAAAAATAAAAAAAAATGTACTTTTAAAGTGAAATTTTATCATTTCACTTTCGTTGGAAAAGAGTAGCTTGGACATTCTGCTAAACATCTCCTTTTGTTTTTTCTGAAAGAAAGGAAGAATATATAGAATATCACATCTCAACACTAACTTGCGTAGGGCGAGTTGGCGGCAGAGCCGTTCAGGAAGCTCGGGGAGCCGGTCAGGTTGGTCATGCCGCTGTTGCCGTAGCCGTTCATGCTGGTGGATACCGTACTGTAACTGCTCTGCTGAGGGGTGGGACTGGGCACATATCCGTGTGGTGATACGCTACTCGTGTTACGACTGAAACCTGCGGCCGGACACAGAGAAAACTTCAACTGAGCCTTATGTTAAAGCAGTGTGGCAGTATTCAGCTTTGATAAACTTCATCCTACACATCAAGTGTGTGTATGTCTGTGAAGAGGGAAAAAGCAAGAGAATAACATCTCACCCTGGTTTCCACCCTGAGACGACTCTGAGACGTTAACGGCGAGCTGTCCAGTGAAGGAGTTCACTCCCATCATGCTTGCATGGACGGAGCTGTTGGTGAGGCCGGTGAGCTGGTTGTGGTTTCGTGGCACATTGTACAGGGCTTCAGCAATGTCTGCTGCTCGCTTAAGAATGATTTCCTAAGGAAAAATGAGCCATCATCTCTCACAATTGAACACTTTCATAGCATATATGGGTGGTGTTTCAACTTGATTGACTGATTTTGGCAAAATGTTATTTTGATGGTCGCTTTTAGACATTCTGTTTACTATAAGCAACTTGGCAACTAAATATCCACTAGCAGTCATTAGAGTATTTGTAGACTGTCTGCTTAATATCTGCTAAGATTTTATTTTGATGTTTCCCCAACACACATTCTACTGGCTATAAGTAACTTTGCAAGTACATGTAAACTTATTCTACTAACCCTAACCTAACAGTCAAATACTCTATTAATACTCTACTGAGATTTATAGTTGACATGTATTTGCAAAGTTACTTATAGTCAACTGAATTTCTAGGGAGATCATCAAAAAACAAAACAAAACAAAACAAACAAAAAAACAACAACAAAAAATCTATTTAACTTTGCATTATATGAAGGTCAAATTAAAATTGTTATATTATGACTATTTTTTCTACTTTTCAAATGCTTTTTATATGTTATTGTTAAAATTTTTCTTGTGTCAGAGTTTCAATAATAAAATATGAAAATGCAACAAAAAGTAAAAAAATTGTTACAACCTAAATAAAAATGAACAATTTTGATATGTATTGTCTTAAATTAATTTAAATTAGTGCTGTTAAACGATTAATCGCGATTAATCGCATCCAGAATACAAGTTTTTGTTGACGTAGTATACGTGTGTGTGCTGTGTATATTTATTATGTCTATTTAAATACACACCCATGCATGTATATAATAAAAAAATATGTTACGTTTATATATACAGTTTATATTATATATATATATGTATATATAAATTACATGAATATAAATATATACATGTAAATATTTTCAAAATATATACTGTATGTGTGTGTATTCATACATAATAAATATACATAGTACACACACATATATTACTCAAACAAAAATGTTTATTTTGGATGCGATTAATCGCGATTAATGGTTTGACAGCACTAATTTAAATATGTAACACAAATTACATCCGTTGTGATTTCATGTCCTTCTTGGCTAACTATTTTGACACTAAAATGTTTCTCCTTCAAAGGATAATATACTTGTTTATGAAAGTAGCCTTAGAAAAACAAAGTAATCACTCATTTTATTCAAAAATATTTGAAATGCCATTTTCAAATTGTCATTTCCATCACAGAACACTATTAAACCCAATGCATTATTTGATGTGTTGGAAATGCCACCACAACCTTTCAGTTCTTAGAAGGAAAAAAAAATCATAATTGTTCTGTAATGTTTGTACACCACTGAATATTATTCATAGACAAATTAAATAAACTTTTTTTTGTACATTTTTTTTTAAATATATACTGTATGTTTAAATTTCCAGGTCATTTTAAGTTTGCAGGGCCAAAAATACAGATAGAAACACCCATATATTTTCAACAAGTGTTAACAGTCAACTGTCAGTGAAGGGAATTTATGCAACTGTCATTTATCAATGATAATCAAGGAGTTTCTTCCTCACCTGGTTGTTATGAGGCATTCCATAAAGTGCTTCCACTAGATCTGCTGCTCTCTTCAAAATCACTTCCTTTATGCACAACAAAACAAAGGAAATATTAATGATAAAATAAAGTTTGAGAACAAGTTTCATCCTCAGTTCAATCCATATACATTTACAATCCATAATACTTGTCACTTGTAACTATACAATGTGATGTTGTTCTCTTTCACAGATGAAAAAGGGTTGAATTTCCGTTTAATAACATCGGCGATCACAGCCAAGTGGAACACATGGAGCTGATGTTTGCTCAATTGTTCTGTGTCTGTCAGGATGAAAAAGTGCAGTATTTCAGCAAACATCTGCTTTGCGTTGAGGAAGGACAATGCAATCTATGTTTGCAGAGAAGGTCACTCGGTTTCACAGTACTGGGCAATAACTCAGCGGAGAGCAAGCTCTCGTAAGAGCTCTTGCGATGACGGTACATCGGAGAAGGAATCGATGCATTCCCGCTAATGAGAAGTAATTACTTTAACATATGCTTTTCTGCGCAGTCACATGACGGGGAAGAAGGACAACGGGTGTCATGATTGTTTAAGTGCAATGGCTGGAAAACATTAGCGACTTTTGTGTTGCTTTAATAATGTGATTATGTGGCTTGTGCAATATCTCCACATTATCAAACTAGCATGGGAGAAGTGCACCAAACGGCATGCTTGTCTTGGCCAGTAAAAGTTGAGACACGAAATCCTGTGTTTTGAACAAATTTTCACAAACAATGAATTAATGATGCAATACGGATCACATCATGTAGGTTTGTCATTCGACATCTCTCATAAATCAAATGCAATAACAAGTCAAAATACCCTATGAAAATACCACATGAATTTTACATTTAAAAAAATGGCAACTTTTGTGTGATTTTGAAACCCATTACCAATGTTTCACATGTGAAACTTTTAAATCTCAAATGATGATTAAATATTTTCACACACTGGGCCTCATTCATTAAACAGAAGCAAACAAAAACTCTAATAATATATTTGTTCATAAAACATTTCTTCAATTGTTCTGAATTGCACTGTTATAAATGTAAATAGTTTTTTAAAATCATTTTTGTGTTAATTGTTGCATTGATATATATACAAAATCATTCCAGAATTGAAAACCATTCTTACATAAATTATTGCATGTTATAAATGTAATCATAAAACCAACTAGAAATTTACTTTTTACATTAAATGTTGCATTGATAGAAATGCAAAATGTGAATAAAACCACTCTTACATTGATTGGTGCATTGATACAAATGTAAATTGTTTGTAAAACAATTCTTCTGTTAAATGTATGCATTGGCATAATTGTAAATCGTTTATAAAACCAGCCTTATGTAAATTATTGCATTATTGAAATGTAAAGTAGAACTATTCATACATAAATTGTTGCATTAAATATTTAACATTTCTTATCTAAGTTGTTGAATTCATGAAACATTAAATCATAAGCGGTTCCATTCCTGTGAATGTAAATCATTTGAAAAAATATTTGTGCAAAAATAACTATAAATATTAATTCATAATTATATAAATAAAACAAATCAATCGTAACCACTTTTTGTTAATCAGTCATAAATCTAAATTGTACATAGAATCAATCTTATGCTAAATGTAAATATAATGTACATAAATGTAAATTGTTGCATGAATTAATGGTTTTACAAACAATTTACAAAGTAATTTGTTCTGCTCATGTATACAAAATAATGAGGCCCTTTAATTTTACATACAATTAAAATTCATGGGTTTTTTTTCCATAAGGGTACTGTTGTTGGATGTTTGAATTGCAGAATCGTTCACATGGTCCTCAAGCGTTTTCCTTATATTTCTCCGTCCTGTATGTTGGCGAGTGGGAGGTCTTTGGGAGAAGTTAATGTAGAAGGGCGCTGCTCCAGCTAACCGAGTGACAGGCAGAAAATTGCTCCCCCCTCTGAATGCAACCTTCACCAGGATCTTACCCCTTAGCATGTGTGTGTGAGCGCTGTGTTGGAACATATTGCCTCCCAATCAGCCCTGGGGTGTGTCGCACCGCGCACACACACACACACACACACACACACGGATACAAACGCACAAACAAAACTAGACGGGGGGTCAGGCAAGCAATGAGGAGTTTTAGTGCGCTGTCCAAGGTGCTAAATTCACTCAATTATGGCCATGCTGGCACTGTGTTAACCTCTCATTATCGTCACGGGGAGCTGTTAGAGCGATAGATCCTGCAGCGAGAGTGAGGAGGCGGAGGAGAGTCCCTCTGCAGCCCAGCGTGTGGGATACTGGCGAGCGAAAGGGCCCGAATGAATGTGGGGCGGCCTGGAGGCAGTGAATTCCCAGTATGTGCGAGTTCAGCCAAAACATCAATCAAATTCAGCGGAAAAGATGAGGAGCAGAGGTCGATGATGAATACTGTATAGCAGAAACACTGAGCTCTATACATCACAAATGTAATATGTTTTCCTATGCCTTTGGACCAGGTACTAAGACTCATCCATAAAATTCAAACAGTGATCAGTTCGGTTAAGAAATCATCAAACCCACATGAATGAAAACATGGAAATCATGACAAAACTAGAAATTAAACACAACTATAAGTTAAAGACAATCCATAATTATCCTTACTGGTCAACACCTTCAAAAACCGATGATTATCCCAACATTACATGACTGTGCCTCGCATTACAGGAAGTAGTATAACATGTTCAGATCATTTTGATAAAGCCATTTACTGTTCTGCATTTGTTCACAGTGTTGATTAGATCAGCTCTGATGCAGCAAGACATCAGCAGATGATGACATCATAAGCTTCATATACAATGATATCAGCAAATTTGGTTTCCCGGAAAGGTTTTTAGTTGACATTTCCTAAAACCTGCTATTTATTTAACCCTATAAAGCCAAGTCCTCTAGATCATTATTGCATTGCGTTGCATTATATGTTTTGTCCAAAATAAAAAGTACAAAGCTTTGATCATAAAACTAAGCATTTAAATATCACTTTACTAAAACATTATTGGGAGATACATAGTGACAACTGATATTTATATGCATTTTATGTATGTATGTTAAGTAGTTATAAAGATCTCATTGATATACATTGCAAGCTATTCATTTCATTTTACATTTGGCCATATGAATGACTACATCTGCAACAAATTGGATAATTTTTTTTGTCTTTTATAATAGTATATGACAATATGCATGTATATATATATATATATATATAATTTTATAATAGTTCATAATTTTTTCCTTCTCGAGCTCCATATTCTCCTGTATAGTACAATATGAGCTATAAAAGATGTACCTGATGTAACAGGCAAATATGAAACTCAAAAAACACATATGCAAACTTTTTTTTGACTTTGTCTAAAGGTTTAATAAACGGTTCCATTAAAAAAAATCTAACTTATTTTATAAGTCATTTTAAAGTCAGATTTTACAGGGTTAAAGAAGGAAATGGACTGAGATGAAACTGTGGCCTTTGAAAACATGTGCTAGCATGAAGATCATAGAAGACCTTTCTCTAAATTTATTACAAATAATGACTTTTTTTTTCTAAGGCTAAGCTACTGTATGGCACCGTCTTTTGGATATTATATATCATGATTTTTGTCTTCTTTTGGAGTTTTTATGATTAAATTGAAATGCTTTAACATTGTTTTTTATGTCCATGGAAGCTATAAAGTCATGCAGCACTGGAGCAACTTCCTTAAGAAAACAAATACTAAAAACTGATTAATAAAGGCTCCAAAATGGGCAGGTTGTGTCAGATCTCATTGTCAATGTAAATGTCCAGTAGAGCATTCAAACTTCTGTTATCCTCTCTAATCCTTTCATACGGGCTACTACACCGTCTGTCCGTCTGAGCTTCTCAGGTCTGTCTGGCTTTGAACTGAGAACATTACAGCCTCTATAGGAAACTAAACTGAGAGGTTTAGATAGGAGAAACACTCAAAAAAATGAACTAGGGGAAAATGTCCAAAATTATATCTCTAATGACTGATAAATGTGTCAGAAACAAAGAAATAGATTATATTGCATACATTGTACAGCAAATGATTGCTTAATCAGGTGTATCACATTCCAAAAACTGACTAAAAGTGACCATTTCACATTGCTGTATGAATTTTGCATGAAAAACCTATAAATAAAAAATATCTTACATACATTTTAGTTCTATAAAATGCATTACATACATAAAAACTCTATCAATCTGCTTACAGTAGATTCATTATATTGTAAACATACAGTAGCTTCCTAAGCAAAAATTATTTTACTTCTAAAAAGGTTAGCTTTTGTTTACAGTTTGTCTGTAAATCAGCTTTATATAAAAACAGTGGAAGTCTATGGCATGCCTTCATTTAGATCTGTGTGTGTGTGTGTGTGTGTGTGTGTGTGTGTGTGCCAGTCTCTCTCTGTGGCGTCCCTGTGTTTGGCTGGTATGATTGAGGTGAGCAGTTGAAAAGAGAGCCCCGTCAACAAACTGTTATTACCTCAATAAGGACGAGAAAATCGATGGGGCGGAGAGGAACAGAGCGTGTGTGTGTGTGGTGCTGCCGCTGCCAATGGGACAGCAGCCAAGACCAGAGAGATGGAGAGAGAGCGAGAGATTATGTATGATTCTCTGTTCCTCCATATGTTCGACCTCTTCATTGAGCTCAACACTGTTCTGAATGTCAGAGGTGCCAGTGTGCTGGAATAATTTCTCTTCCTGCTTTCAAACACACACACACACACACACATCCACTGCTGTGACTCAATTACTGGTGCTGGAGCAATAATAAAGTCCGGCCAGCGGAGACTTCGATCGCTGACCTGCCGGGAGGCACCGCTGGACAGCTGACTTCACCATGATGGATCACCTCTGGGTGCCCACGCTCTTAAACTCACACACACACACACACACACACACACACACACACACACACACACACACACACACACATGTATATACAATAAACTCACAGCACATGACCAAACATACACACTTGTGAAATGAACAAGCAAAATACACTCAACGCTCTAAACAGAAGACGAATGTAGAAAGGGAATTTTGAAAGTTTCTGTGATTTTGCCAACTATCTTCCTGAAACAGCATCATGGAATAATATTCCCATCAAACAATCCTATTTTAAGGCTAGAGAAAGGTGATTCTCATCAACATATAATTTGCCAGAGATTAAAAATAATATCGGAGTGTCTGTTTACACTAACTCCACTCACTAACAGAAGTCAACACTACAAAAGACGTTTCTCAAACAACAGCTCCAGTGGCGTAGATGGTAGAGAGTGTATCGTAGTCTTTTTGACGCGATCGACCCGGGTTCGAATCCGCCTTTTGCCGATTTTTTTCCCTCTCCCTTTTCAAATCTCATAACGCATCGGAAAGGCATTTATTTTCAATAAAAATGAAGGAAATAATCACAAAGTTGAAAATAAAGTATCGGGTAGGGGTAGGTGTAGGCGTAGGTG